ATTTTTATAATAAATGAATAAATAAGAGTAAATTAGTAATTGTATCTCTTTGCCGGTAAAAAAGTTGTCTCCGATGGCCTTAAAAGTGGGGCATTTTGCTTGCTTTTAATAGTTGAGAGGGGCAACTTACTTCTAAAAATAGTTCAAAGGGGGTATTATACAACAATTGTATAGTTTAAGGGTATTTTTTGCTCTTTTGCCTTCTTTTTATTTGTTTAGTTATAATTACATCGGAAGTATTGAACCATCTATTGCTGAAAAATATATTTGATTTTAGTATTTAATATTTTCAAGTATTTTTATATCCATGATGCATGTGTGAATTTAGCATATATGTTAGTGGATAGTAAATTATCTTAGTAGGAGTTAAGGTTATGTAAAATCAAAAGTCATGAGAGTTACAACAAGTAATGGTTATTTTAGTGGCTTAGTGAGAGTTATGCCTATTGAAGATTTTGTTAGTGGGAGAAATGAGAGTTATGGGCATTTATATATAATTTATAGATATGTGTTCTCAAGGTGTATAACCATGTACTCTACTAATTTTACTAGGATATAAGTGAAATAAAAGTTTTTTTCCTCTATTTTTATTCTCTTCCAAATAGTATAGTGTTGTGTGTGTAACTTAGGCCACTATTTCCAACATCTATTATCTCTTCAGTGCATTAGTTCTTTCTTCTTCTTTTTTCCTTTTATGCCACTCACATTTCTAGGGAGAGAGGGAGACAAAAGGAGGTAGCAGAACTGCAGATGCCACCCTCTCCCGTCATTACTTGGTTGGCAGATGGTTGCATCTGCCAAACCAGTTTTGTTTGCCTCATTTCTTTTCTTTTTGTAAGTCACGTCTTCCCTTCCCTTCAAATATAGCAGACTTTTTTGCTGTCAAGTGTCTTTTACTTCCTCTGGCTCACATTAGATCTGTTGTACCAACATTTTGCATTGAATTGTCAATTGGCATATCCAAGTGAATTACCAATTAGAACATCCAATTTTCAACAATTTAGCCTTCTCTAACAAAACACCATTTTGAATATATTTCTTCTAAATTATACATTGATTTCTGTTATTATAAAATATATATTTTATGTCAATTTTTTCACAAATGCAGATATTACGATTATACAAAGAATAATACTTACCTACTCACCCATCAGAGTCTAATGTGATCTAATAAAAAATATACACTAAAAAAAACGTACTTCTATATATATATATATATATATATATATATATATATATATATATATAAAGCGCATTCGCAAAAATATGTGAAAAAATAAAGGATATTGGACATTCCTAAAAGCCTTTTTGTTAGCAAAATCTTTTTCTACCGAAAATTTAAAAAGTTTTTTTGTGCGAAACAAATAAGTAATCAAACAATAATCCAATCAGAGATGTGGTTCAATAACAAATACACATGTAATCCAATCCAATCACAAATACACACTTGTTTGACCTACAAATACACATAATCCAATCACAAATACACACTTATTCCTATGTGATTGGCGTCAATGTAATCCTGTCCAAAGTATTTTTTTTGTTATAGGCCGAAAAGACAATTTATTTGGGTTATAAGCCCTTCTAGGTTATGGGCCTAAAAGTTGCTTCTTCGGCTGTAAACCAATTATAATGGGGGCACATCAATATAGTCCATTGTTAGTGGGCTCCTCAATGTAATTAAACCAGGCCCAGAGTAATTTGATACTAGATTTGGTTATAAGCCCTTCTGGGTCGTTGAAGATTATATTAGTGGGAGAAATGAGAGTTATGGGCATGTAATTCATAGATATGTGTTCTCAAGTGTATAACCATGTACTCTACTAATTTGATTAGGATATAAGTGAAATAAAAGTTTTTTTTCCTCTATTTTTATTCTCTTCCAAATAGTATAGTGTTGTGTGTGTAACTAGGCCACTAATTCCAACATCTATTATCTCTTCAGTGCATCAGTTCTTTCTTTTTCTTTTTTCCTTTTGTGCCACTCACATGTCTAGGGACAGAGAGAGACAAAAGGAGGCAGCAGAACTGCAGATGCCACCCTCTCCCGCCATTACTTGGTTGGCAGATGGCTGCATCTGCCAAACCAGTTTTGTTTGTCTCATTTCTTTTCTTTTTGTAAGTCTTGTCTTCCCTTCCCTTCAAATATAGCAGACTTTTTTGCTGTCAGGTGTCTTTTACTTCCTCTGGCGCACATTAGATCTATGGTACCAACATTTTGCATTGAATTTTTAATTGGCATATCTAAGTGAATTGCCAATTGGAACATCCAATTTTCAGCAATTTAGCCTTCTCTAACAAAACACCATTTTGAATATATTTTTTCTAAATTATACATTGATTTTTGTTATCATAAAATATATATTTAAGTCATTATTTTCACAAATGCAGATATTACGATTATACAAAGAATAATACTTACCTACTCACCCATCAAAGTCTAATGTGATCTAATAAAAAATATACACTAAAAAAAACGTACTTCTATATAAAAAAAAGCACATTCGCAAAAATGTGAAAAAATAAAGGATATTGGACATTCCTAAAAGCCTTTTTGTTAGCAAAATCTTTTTCTACCGAAAATTTAAAAAGTTTTTTTGTGCGAAACAAATAAGTAATCAAATGATAATCCAATCAGAGATATGGTTCAATAACAAATACACATGTAATCCAATCCAACCACAAATACATACTTGTCTGACCTACAAATACACATAATCCAATCACAAATACACACTTATTCCTATGTGATTGGCGTCAATGTAATCCTGTCCAAAGTATTTTTTTTGTTATAGGCCAAAAAGACAATTTATTTGGGTCATAAGCCCTTATAGGTTATGGGCCTAAAAGTTGCCTCTTTGGGCTGTAAACCAATTATTATGGGGGCACATCAATACAGTCCATTGTTGGTGGGCTCCTCAATGTAAGTAAACCAGGCCCAGAGTTTAAAGCCTTGCAAAGAGAATCAAAATTTGATACTAGATTTGGGTTATAAGCCCTTCTGGGTCATTGGCCTAAAAGTTGCCTCTATATCAAAATAGTCCATTATTGGTCATCCTCAATGTAAGTAATTTAAGCCCAGAGTTTTAAGCCTTGCAAAAGAGAATCAAAATTTGTTACTAAATTTAGGTGGGGTGCGCCAGGCCAAGATAGTAGTGCAACACCAAGGCGACACTCGAGAGCCCCAGCAGCATGAGATACAACACTTGATCTTAGCCAAAAGACCAAGAAAGGTATGCTTTGAATAAAACTGGGCCTCTTTTTTTTTATAATGAACTACTCACCCACTCTTCTTATTCACAACCAATGTGGGACAAAAGAGTTGAATCTACACACATATTTACCAAACAAAGTAGCCCAACTCTTGAGTTCTGTTTGGTTACTTGCTCGGATATTTTTTGAACACTTTTTGATTTGAAAACCAATTGAAACCTATAGTTATTTGTTAAAGTTTCAATTATACAATGGCCAGAATTAGACAAGGATAAATAGTTTGGAGACGTAAAACAAAATTTTGTTTATTTGCATCAAGATTTTGAGGGGCTCATTCAACACCAAATCGAAGATAGCAAAAGAGAAATAAGTGACTTGAAACCATAGATCTACTAAGGATACAATTCGAACTTCCAATTTAGTTGTCACAATGCTTCTAGCCCAATGCGTGTGTGTGATACACACACACACACACGCTCTTCAATATTCCAAATAAAGAAGTGATAAAAAAAAAAAAAAAAAATCCCTGAATTTCCTACATTCTCGGTATGGATAAATTTACTAGCCTGAAATGCCCGATGAGACTATTTGGTTGTCTTTCAAAGAGAGTAATGCTAATGACAGTCGCGACTATTAGCCACGTGGATAACCACCTCACTTGTCGCTAGCATCTTTCTTCTTGTTTAGGAGCACTGAATCGGGTTACATTTTTTTGCCTACGAAACTGAAATCTCAAACCACATTTGGTATAGAAACTCATAAGAGAAGTTGATTTTCTTCACGAGGAACATGTTAATAGTTCTACAAAGAAATGATTTCCTTTCACTTTTTTTGCAGTCAATACGCCCAACATTTTGAATAAGTAATACCCCAACATTTTGCATTGAATTGCCAATTGACATATCTAAGTGAATTGTCAATTGGAACATCTAATTTTCAGCCATTTAGCCTTCTCTAACAAAACACTGTTTTGAATATATTTATTCTAAATTATACATTGATTTTTGTTATCATAAAATATATATTTAAGTCAATATTTTCACAAATGCAGACATTACAATTATACAACGGATAATACTTACCTACTCATCACCTGTCAGAGTCTAATGTGATCTAATAACAAATATACACTAAAAGAAACGTACTTCTATATATAAAATTTTTTTAAAAAAAAAATTAAAAAAAAAAACGCATTCGTAAAAATATGTGAAAAAGAAGGAATATTGGACAGTCCTAAAAGCCTTTTCGTTAGCAAAATCCTTTTCAACTGTAAATTCAAGAAGTTTTTTTGTGCAACAAACAAATAAGTAATCAAAATAATTTGGATCAACTTTGACTTGAAAAATTGAACAAATTTATTTATGAGATGTGATTCAATAACAAATGCACGTATAATCCAATCAGATATGGTTCAATAACAAATACACATATAATCCAATCCAGTCGCACTTGTCTTGCCTACAAATACACATAATCCAATCACAAATACACACTAATCATGCCCATGTATACACAGTTGTCCTACCTATGTGATTGGCGTCAATGCAAAATCTAATCACAATGCATTGGCCAAAATATTTTTTTTGTTATAGACTGATAAGACACTTTATTTGGGTTTAAGCCCTTCTAGGCTATGGACCTTAAAGTCATCTCTTTGGGTTGTAGGCCATTATTATGTTGGAAAAACAATATAGTACATTGTTGGTGGGCCCATACTAAACGCAAGTAAACTCAGGCCCAGAGTTTCAAGCCTGGCAAAGAGAATCAAAATTTTGTAGCAGATTTGGGTGGGGTGCGCCAAGCCAAGGTAATAGTGCAACACCAAGGCGACACTTGAGAGCCCCAGCAGTAAGCTACTGTGATGGGCCCTCCCCCTCAAAAAATAAATTTAATATCATGTGGGCCATTAGCCCACGTATCAGAAATTAAACTGATAAGAACAGATACTACACTTGATCTTAACCAAAAGGCCGAGAAAGGTATGCTTTGAACATTAATGGGCCTCCTCTTTTATAATTAGCTACTCTCTCCACTCTTCTTTCTCATAATCTATTTGGGACAAAACAGTAGAAGCTACACACATATTTACCAAAGAAACTTGCCCAGCTTTTAAGTTCTATTTGGGTATGTGCTCTGATATTTTTTGAGCACTTTTTTAGTTGAAACTTTAAACCCAATTGAAGATTTGCTTTCAGAAGTTACATGTTTGGTGGTAACCTCAAACTGGAAGTGAAAACAAGGAAGCAGAGAACTGGTATGTTCTTTCTTGCAGAAAAATAGGTAGCATTGGAAGAAATGATATAGATCCATAGTTATTCGTCAAAGTTTCAATTATTCAATGACCAGAATTAAACAAGGATATATAACTCGAAAACACAGAACAAAAATTCGTTTATTTGCATCAAGCTTTCGAGGGGCTCATTCGAGACTTGCTCCAACTATTAGCTTTGGTTTTCGCTAATCGGGGTAGAGATGGGCAAAAGAGAAATAAGTGACTTGAAGACCATAGATTCAGCAGTATTCTAGAGGGAATGCAGGCTTTGACTTAATTAGAGTTCTACTGGGATCTCAAATTGAACTTCCAATTTAGCTGTCAGAATGCTTTTGGCACCGGCGGGTGTGTGTGTGTGTGTGTGTGTGTGTGAGAGAGAGAGAGAGAGAGAGGGAGAAAGAGAGATTTACTTAAGTAGTCCAAATAAAGAACTGGTACAGACCCTTCCCAGAAATAGATGCACATAAAGAACTAGATATATTACATCAGTGAAGTTTTACAGTGTCTCAGTAAACTAAAATAAATCACAGGTTGGATACAACACATCTAAATAAAAGCTAATTATGTTGCCAAGTATCATCACGATTCACTAACATTACATAACTGACCACATTGTTAGCTTGAGAGGTATCTAATCTACTGCCACCCTCCCCAAGGAGAGAAGGTGCTAATATAAAAAATTTGAATTGATATGTAAACATATATCAGATTGTATTTAAATATTGTTATCATCAATGGAGTTGCTAATTAGCTAGTCGTATGAATAGAATGCAAACATAGTCATTGGCAAGCACCTATAGGATCAATATTCTTGTTGTTTGGCAATTCATTCTCTAGTTATAGATATGGATTACCTTAATTAGTAATGCTAGTGACAGTCACGACTATCAGTCATGTGGGAACCACCTCATCTATGTGGGGACCACTTCATTCAATCGCCAAAATTGTCACGCTTATCGCTAGAATCTCTCTTCTTGTTTGGGAACACCGAATCGGGCTACACTTTTTGCGTGTGAAACTGGAATCGCAAACAATATTTGGTATTGAAACCTGTAAGAGAAGTTGATTTTCTTCATAAGGAACATATCAATAATAGTTGTATAGAGAAATGACTTCCCTTCACTTTTTTACAGAGTCAATACCCCCAACATTTTGAGTAGGCATATCTAAGTGAATTGCCAATGGGAACATCCAATTCTCTAACAAAGCAACTTTTTAAAATATATTTATTCTAATTTATACATTGATTTCTGTCATTATGAAATATGTATTTAAGTCAATTTTTTCATAAATGTTGTGACAACCCGGATTTTTAGGATTTTAATTTATTTCATGATTCGTAGTTGTTAAGATTGGGTATGTAATTTTAATTGGAGACTTACCCAATTGGAGATTTTGGGTTATTAATATTTTGTTTTTTAGTGTTAATTTTAGTAAATTAATTTTATTTAATCATTTATTTATTAAGTTAGTGGAGTTTTGTACAGGATTATTGGAATCAAATGGTGATGCTGTAGCCGAAATAGGAAGAGGAAAGAGAAGTGGTAATGGTGGGCGGGTCTCACCAAAATGATGTTTAATGGTTAGTTGATTTTGTTACATATATATATATATATATATGTATGTAATTTGTTGGTGATGAGGGCTGCCAACAGAGATAGAGAGAAAGAAAAGAAGAAAGGAAATGGTGTGTTTGGCGGGTCCCATGGGTTGAATTGTTGGGCCAAATTCATTGTGCATGTGGGTTTATATTGTGATAATGCTTTCTGATAGAAATATTAAGATAGAAAGAAATGATATATATATATATATATATATATATATATATATATATATGTAATTTGTTGGTGATGAGGGCTGCCAACAGAGATAGAGAGAAAGAAAAGAAGAAAGGAAATGGTGTGTTTGGCGGGTCCCATGGGTTGAATTGTTGGGCCAAATTCATTGTGCATGTGGGTTTATATTGTGATAATGCTTTCTGATAGAAATATTAAGAGAGAAAGAAAAGATGAAAAAAAAAAAAAAAAAAAAAAAACAAGAATGAAATGACGAGGAGCAGCAGGCGGGCTAGCCGAGATGTAACGTAAAGAAAAAGGTGGCGGGGCCCACTAACTGATTCGTTCGGCCAAAAATTTGTGGGCTTCACGTTGGTTTGGTCTGATGTATAGGAATTAGATATTTTTGAAGTTTGTTTGGTGAGCAGTTGGTGGGCTTGTGTCGGTGGAATGCATTTGCCTATATATTTGAGTATTGAGGGTCACTAAGTTAGTATATAGAGAAGGAAAAAAAAAATAAAGGAAAGTTGAGAGATAATGAGCCGAGAGCGAAGACACTGAGAGTTTGAGGATAGAGAGGGAGCCGAGAGTTGCAGAGGAGGCCGGTGCTTGAGGCTTTGATGATCTAGTAAAGAAATTATTTTTCAGTGTAGGGTTCTCTATACCTTGAATGGCTTGGGGTGATTTTGCTTCAATAATTTTGATTAAATGTTTTAATTAAATGCATATGTATTTTGCATATAAACTCACATGACTATGTATATTTTGTGAAGTTGTTTTATTAAACCTTCATGAAATTCTTGTTATGGTTTTTCCTACTGGGACTTTTAGTCTCACCACCCTCCAGTTTCAGGTATCGAAGATGAACGGGGATTCTAGATTCGGGCTTAGCCTGAAGAGTTGGCGTTGCGAGATTTAAATTTTTTTCTATTTGGAGAATTTTTGTGTATATTTGAGGAAATTGATTTTGTATGATCCTAGTATATTTTGATGTATTTTGAGTTGAATAAATTAAGGATTTTATTGGAATTTTTGGGTCTTAACGAAATGGTATCATGGCATTTTGTTAGCATTTTCGAGGCGTGACAAATGCACATGTTATAATATCAAAAGACAGTGAGATTTAATATTGTTCAGTGTGATTCAATACTGTTCAGTGTAATCCAATACTGCTAGTGTATAATCCAATTCAGTCATGTGAGTTACAAACAAATGCAATATTGGAGGTCTCTTCTGACCCAACAAAAATATGTAATTGTCAATTGTCCAAAACGCAAACTCTTTTTTGAAATATTTTGTTATGGGCCAGAAAGACACTGGTTGGGCCAAAAAGACACCTGAAAAATAAGCCATTACATGGGCCCATCCAACTATTTTAGGTCCCATCAAAAATAATGTGGGAGTCTTAACAAAAAGAAAGATTGGCCCAAAATTTCAATTCTTGCATGGAGAATCAAAATTTGGTACTTGATTTGGGTGGGGTGCGCCAGGCCAAGGGAATAGTGCAACACCAAGGCGAAGCTCGAGTGCCCCAACAGCAAGCTACTATGATGGGCACTCCCCTTCAAAAAATAAATTTAATTTCGTGTGGGCCATTGGCCCTGGCCCACGTATCAGATATTAAACTGATAAGAACAGATACTACATTTGATCTTAGCCAAAAGGCCGAGAAATGTATGCTTTGAATAAAGCTGGGCCTCCTTTTTTATAATAACCTACTCTCCCACTCTTCTTATTCATAACCAATGTATGACAAAAGAGTAGAATCAACAATTAGTTTATTTGCGTCAAGCTTTTGAGGGGCTCATTCAACACCAAATCGAAGATAGGCAAAAGAGAAATAAGTGACTTGAAACCATAGATTCAACAATAATCTAGAGGGAATGAGGGTTTGACTTAACCAGAGATCTACTAAGGTTTCAATTTAAACTTCCAATTTAGCTGTTAGAATGCTTTTGGCCCGATGCGTGTGTGTGAGATATATACTTCAATAGTCCAAATAAAGAAGTGATAAAAAATGTCCCTGAATTTCCTACATTCCCAATACGGATAAATTTACTAGCCTGAAATGCCTTATGAAACTATTTGGTACTCTTGGCATATCTAAGTGAATTGCCAATTGGAACATCCAATTTTCAGCCATTTAGCCATCTCTAACAAAACACCGTTTTGAATTGTTTAAATTGAATTGTTTTATTTTTAAGTCCAAGCATACCTTCTTGTAGAAGGCATCGGCCCGTGTGGAGGCATTTATTTGTTTTAAGTGCATTGATATTATTGAGGAGTTTGGGAACATCGTATATGGAGGTTGAAATTTTGAAATGTTGGTGTGTTGACTTGTTCTAGTGCATGCATGGTCGTAGATCACTTAATCGTCCTCTTGCTCCTGTAAATCAAAATCTCGAAATTTTTCTTAGGCGTTTAAGAAGTAGTACTAGGGATTGTCATCTTAATCTTTCAAATTTTGATCTTCCATCACCTTTAATGGAAGATCCAATTGAAGATCCCATTGTAGATCTTGGTCATGTGGATCATAATGGTGCGCACCACCTACCACAAGTTCATATTATGGATCCTCAAGGTGTGCATCCACCCTTGGGAATGCCACAACCAGTTAATTATGCGGTGCAACAACCTAATCTAGGGATGCCAAGCCCAAATGTTGTTCCCCCAATTGGTGAGCAACAACAATAATAAGTTCAAATGGCATACCCTCAACAAGGTCAAATGGCATATCATCAACAAGGTCAAATGCCATATCCTCCTCTCAATCCTCTCAATCCTCCAATGGTCCTTAGGGATCGTTACACTCTAAATCAATATAATGCACCCACTTGCATTCAATTACCAAATTTTCGTGCTCATCATTATGAGATTAAGGCTTCCACCATTAACATGTGCCCCCTTTTCTATGGGTTGAGCAATGAAGAGCCTTA